TTGGGTCCACCTTGAGGACCCTGGCTGATAAGACCCATTCTTGCTGGGTCTGGTTCTGCCTACGAACTCCAGAGGTTGGGCACAGAACACCTTGCTGTATCACGCAGATCCTGCAGGACAGACATGTAGACCTTACTGAGGTTAAAGTGGACACAGGCATGGTACCAAAGGGAAGCTCTTTGCTTCCAGTGTTCCCTGGACTGGTCACTATCCCTTCATGGTCACTCTGTGTTCTCTATACTGCTAATTCTGCTCCAGTACAGTTAGCTCTAGGGAACTAACTGGTCCTTGGACTTTGTGCAGCATGGGATATTGGGTTCATGGTGCTATGTGGCTTTGGAGACCTCTTGGGAGATGTTGTGGGCTTTGGAGACCTCTTGGGAGATGTTGTGATTCCAGCGTCTATCAGCCAGATGTCTTTTGACCGTATACTTTACTGTTATCTCTTGGATCTTGTGAAGCATGTGACTGAGTTATTTCCCTTTTCTCATTGACTGCCAGGATGCTCTAGCCCATAAGCCCACAAATTACTCGGCACTTAGAGCTGACCTGGGCCCCTCTCTCAGACTTTCACAGTCCTGTTTTCTTGTTGCCTCGTTTTCATGACCGAGTTTTCCTTGAGAGGATACAATCCCCTGGTTGTTCTGCTTCTTTAGCCTTTAACTAGACAAACACAATGGTGGGTGGGTCAGGGCTGGCTAAACAGGTTAAAACATGTAGTTTCCCGAGGTTATCATCCAGCTAATTTCTTCCCTGCCCAAGTCCTCTGTCCCCTGCTTGGATGTCTACACGCACGCCAGAGCCGTGGAATCCCTGTGTCCTGGCTTTGTTCAGGTAGCAGATATTTGGCTTCATGTTCCCCTGACTCTCTGTTCCTGCTCCCTGTGCCGCTTTAAGAGAATTTTGAAGGAAGAAATGACTTGTGCGAGCTTAGCCTCAACCAGTCCCTGCAGAACTCCCAGGTCCCTCTGAGGCCCTGCTTGCTGCAGATTCTGTCCGACCTCAGCGGCCTCCAGCCAACCACAGGTCCTCACGTCCACCTGAGCAGGGCTAATGCTTGGTGCTAAGGCAAGGAAGTCTTGACCAGATGTGTTGGAAGGTGGGGAGGAGAAAGGCTGATAAGCAGTGTCACTGGGGCAAAGAAGAAAGCCTCAAGGCTGGAGTGAGGTGCCAGGGACGGTTTTCAGTTACCAACCCTGTCCTCAGAACCTCTCCAGCTTTTCCATGGGGACAAGGTCACCGTATCTCCACAGATAATAAACTCAAAGCTCATCACAAACTGTGCCCTCTCCTTTGTAGGCTCTTGGGTCGTCTCCTCCAAGGCAGTCATCCTGGCACAGTGCACAAGGCTCCAGGGGCCGTTCATATGCTGTGTTCCCTAACCAATGGCACAGTTGGATACACGTGTTTTGTGGTTTTTCTTGACGTGGTTTTTTGCTTGTTTGTTTGTTTGTTTGTTTTTGGCTCATTTCCATGAGCATCCTATGCCTCAGTCAGAAAGACAGGATGGTAGTGCCAGTGACAAGGGAGCCCAGTTTCTGTGGAGTACAGTAGGAGGGAGCTTGCACCCTCCCTTCAGGAGCCTCAAAACTACTCCAGATTTTGTGTGTAAAACTGGACATAGGAAGCATTTTCTGGGAAGATGGACTGTGTTTCCAAGGAGCCTGGGGGACAGGGAGGTAAACTGCCTCACTGTGGTTTGCTGAAATTCCCGTAGGGTGGCAAGAGGGACTTGGTGGAGGACAGAGCCCTTGGGCCTATGAGGACAGAGTCAGATGGGGAATCAGGCTGGAGCTGGTGGTTGGTGGGACATGTCAGAGACACGGGAGCACTGATTTCTTCTGGAGGGTGACTTGAGTTTTCCCACAGTCCACAGGGGTTCCCTCTGTTTAGTGTGGACTTAACCTCCTCTGGCCCGGAACATGGGGCAGGTCCTTCCAAAGGCAGAGAGGTCCTTGTTACTGTTTCAGAGGATAACCCCAGGCACAAAGAGGTATAGGTCTTGACCCAGAGTCACTCATCTAGGGACAGGCAGGAGCTGTAGGCCACTCCTGTTAGTGGTATTCTGTTCAAAACTGCTTCTTCAGCCTGGGCAGCATGCGGGCCGTGGGGAGGTGGGAAGGGAGAGCCAGACCGCCTATTGCTGCTTGCCTCTTGGTGTGCAGCTGAGGAAGAGTATCTCCAAGGCTCAGAAGCCACCGTCCCTCCTCACTGCAATCTGTATCATCACACTTCCACCCACCTTGGCACCTTTGGCTTCCCGTTAGGCCTGAATTCCTAACAGTAAAAGGACAAGAGCTAGGAGGCTGTGCTACCAGTTCCAGCCGCTAGAGGGAAGCAGGAAGACCATCACAACAGCTTAGCATAGAAAATTCTAGCAGGGCAAGTAGTTTAGGAAGGGGGAGTGGTGGGCAAAGCCCTACAGAGGTCTCCCTCTGTTAGAGCAAACTCCAAGGGTACAGGCAACTAGTTCTGAGATGCTTCCCTAAGACATAAAACAAAATTCAGAAATCTAGACAAAGTTCCCAGCAGGTAAACAATTGAGCTGGGTTGTTACATGGGGCTGGCGTCAGAGGTCACTTGTCAAACACAAAGCAGAATCTTGTCCTAATGTTGAGCATGAATGAATGCTTCAGGTCAGTTACAAACAACACTCTGGTTAGGCCACCTTTATAGACAGGGAAAGAGAAGCTCAGGCCCAACTGGTGCTTAGTCAGTGTGTGCTTAGCCTCTGACATGTAGGCTTGAGCCCTTAGCTGCAAATTAGAGCTTCCCTGTACAGCATTCTTCACTCCCAACCTGACCATAGGCTGCAACCTGAGAAATCTCCAGTCTGGTCACCAGGTCCTCTGTCTTCTAACATAAAGATGGGATTCTGGGCCCAAGGTTTGATCCAGAAATGAGGGAGGCCATAACAGAAGCAACTGGAAACCCAGGAAGGGTCCTGGGTCCCCGAGTCTGGCTTGGAGGACCAGGGCATTAAGAAATCTCTTGCAGAGGCCAAGGTTTGCCTGGGAACAACAGGACCTGGCCTAAGGGCCTTTGGTTTCCAGGGCAGATGCCTCCAGCATACCAAGGACCGTTGGCCAGCTCTGGGCTTAGCTGTGCCAGGCTGGCAGGAGAGCAGAGCACTTTCAGGGGGCTCTAACATCCTCCTTCCTGTTCTCATGCTCTGGCTTTGCCCTCCTGGGAGGCGGGCACATGGCCCTCAGCTGGGCCTCAGGCTTGTGGCCACAGTGTACATGCTGAACTTTGAGGAGTCTCCTCACCTTAGGCCTGGCTTTGAGTTTCTTCAAGTGGGGTGAGAAGGGAAATTGGGAGAAAGAGCTCGAACCATCTGTCTCCTTCTGGGCAAGATGGAGGGTTCTCCTCTGGGGGGGAAAAAACCAAAAAACCAAACCCTCTGTGTATTCTATCTTTAGAGTTGAAATTGAAGGCCAAAGGGCCAAGAAAGTCAGTCTTGATGCAAACCAAAGGGAATGAAATAAAAGACAGGCCGGGGCAGATTCAACCAATGCATTGGAACATGACTTTGAGAGCACCTAGCCTTGGCTGGGATCTTGGCTCTCCCTACTTCTTGGGGCATGAACTTGGAAAAGCTATTGTAACCAGAGGAGCCTCAATTTTTTTTCCTGCTGACTGGGTTGTGAAGTGCTGACCTCTTAGCCTTGAGGTTGGGGTTGGGGGCCGTGCACCTGAGCCTGAGGTTGGGGCCCTCACACAGGGAGACTGAGAGCCCCTTGCGAGTGCTGACTTTCCTTGGTATCAGTTCATCTGTACTTTTTGGTTAGTGCCTATTGGTCTGGACTGCTGATAGATGCCTGTGAAGAAACACAGCTGAGTTTAATACCGTCACAACTGAAGAAAGCAGGCTGGTATTCCCTGAGGCACTTGTCAGGGTCCTGGGATTAAAGTAGAGAGGGCTCCCCACTACCCTCAGCCTTCCCTCCATGGGGCAGAGGCCTTTGTCATAGGTTAGGATGGGTGTGGTTCAGATTGTGTGACTTTGAATACACTGAGAGACTCTTTCTTAGAATCTGGACTACAGTCCGTCTATTAACTGTCTCTTGGTGGTGACCTATTGCTGATTTCTACACACAGTATGGTGTTTCACATTTTTTAAAATTTATTTTTATTATTTAAAATCAAATCATAATTTTTACTTACTCACACGGGTTATAAACACAAAAAGGGTGTTTCACATTTTTAAGAGAACCCTCAGAGCCCAAACACCAGTAGGCCTAGCTATTTTGGCCCAGGCCCGGTGATTTTCTCCAGGCAAGCAGAGCCTGCAGCTCCACTTTCTTCCTTGGGACAGCGAGCCAATGGTGAAGGGATTAGAGCATTGACTTGACCCTGATGCAGAAGGACTCTGGCCTCTGATACTTCGCACATGTGAGCCATAGAGTGTTCTTTAAAATCTCCATTTGAGCAATGGGAGTGGGTCCCTACCCTACCAGAGCAGTTTTTAAGGGTTGACAGGGTACCCAAAATGGCAATGCTTGTTTGCTTGGGAGATGGTATCCACTGACTTGTCACCTAGAGTAGCCAGGACATACAGCAGATTGTGGGAGGATACACACAAAGGATGTGAGTTTACACACCAGCCACGAGCCAACCAATAAATGGACCTCAAGGCAAAAAGGATAACATGCACTCTGCGTCTCAGAACCTATAATCTTACCTGCTTCTATTCTGGTCCCTCCTGTGCTGATGGTCCGGGACAGAATCTGGTGCATGTTTGAAGGCCAAGTGTGCTTAATCATGAGGAACAGAGTTGTGTCTTAGAGGGGAGGTATACAGGTTCCAGATGGGGGTTGAAGCAGGTCATAGGCCCCAGTAGGCACTGCTGCCTGTGCTGTGGGTTATACCTGCTTACAGGGTGAATCTGATTATTTGGCTAAAGGCTTTAGCCCTGTGCAAGCACTTAGTAGGTGTTACCTAAAGTGCTGGCTTTGGCGTTTTACTTGGGCTTTTAAAAGTTTGCTTTTGGCTTTCAGGTAACTGCTGTGAGTGCTGCATATGGTTGGAAGAAGATTCCTGTCCCCAGTTGTCCCTTTGGAGCTACCTTCTCCACCTGAAGGCCTGGGGTGATTCACCTCCATCACAGGACCAGTTGAATTCCAGAAGGTGAGGATTGTTTCCATTCATTTGTAACACAGAACCCATCACCTGGGCTTGTCGCCTGAGACACTTGGGCACACATGCTAGCTAGCTCCTGCCCACAGGAGCCCTGGTGTGGATCATGGCTTGCTAAGGGTGGCACATAGAGGTTACAGCTTGAAAATTGGCTCAGAGGTGATCTAAGAGCAGCTGGAGCCCAAAACAGCAGTCAATTTGGGGATCAGGGAAAGTCATGTTTCATGGCCTGGGGGCAGACTGTAGGGCAGTGAGAAGAAGGGCAAGGAGAGGGGGACTGGAGCCCAAACCAACCTGCCCCTGCCTCCACTGCCCGATGGCACACGGCTGAGGCGCAAATCACTGGTTCACTTTACAGCAGTCCTCCTTTGGTAAGTGTTGAGCTCCTTGGCACTGAGTCTAGAAGGAGCCCTGGCATCTCTTAGGACCTGGTGGCTGAGGCAGCATCCCTTGGGGTACCTTGCAAGAAGCTTGGGGCATATCTATCATGAGCCCATGGGATAGGCTTCCCTTTCCCATTTTTCTGTGGCCCCACCCTACCCTTTCTCCCCCTTTATGGACTGAAGGGCTGAAGGAGTAGCTTGGAGCCAGAAACAAGTCCTGAGGTCCTGTGCAGAGAGATTCATTCCAGGAGCCTCTGGCCCTTGCTCCAGGCCAGTTGACTTACAACACTACAGGTGCCTAGAAGTCCACATTTGGAGGTAGCTGGGCTCCCTCCAAAGTAGATGGTAGAAAGACCATAGTCCATGGTGGGCAGTTCTTGGCCCAGTTGGATTCTGCTGTCAACTCAGAATTCATGGGACACAGGGGTCCCTGCTCTCCTGGATTTGTGTTTGGGGATGAGAATTTGGTGTGCGTCCTTCCTCTAAGGTTAAGTAGAAGACAGAGAAAAAGACCATTGTCTGGGAGGGTGAGTATCAGCCTGTGTGACTAGAAGATGCCTGTGATCCAGGAGATGCTAGCAGGGATCACAGGCAGTGTTAGGGTGTAGCATGAGCCATCCCCAGACCTCCCAAGTGTGGAAACTGGGGAAGCTGGGCTTTGACACAGTAAATAGGCTGGGCTAGGAAAGCCAGAGCTCAGCACAGGAGGCCTCTGCGGCCCCGATTCGCTTAGCTCTTGGGGTCTAGGGAGTGAGTCTGTTTAGCTCTCTGAAGCTCCCAGGAGACACCAAGAAAATGACAGTTCAGTGTAGGCTTTGTAGGTCCTATGGGATATGTGAGCACTAGGTGGGGGATGGGTGTTTTCCTGGAGCCCATGGTGGTTCTTATCTGTGTGAAGCACTTAACCCTTGGCTGTCTTCTGTCCACAGACCCTGTGCCTTGGAGCAGCAGCCCCATGACGGTGCCCAGCCATGCAATGTTCCTGGAAGGCTGTCCTCCTCCTTGCCCTGGCCTCCATTGCCATCCAGTACACAGCTATCCGCACATTCACTGCCAAGTCTTTCCACACTTGCCCTGGGCTGACAGAAACTGGGCTGGCAGAGCGGCTGTGTGAAGAGGGCCCCACCTTCTCCTATAACCTCTCCAGGAAGACCCACGTCCTCATCCTGGCCACCACACGCAGTGGGTCATCATTTGTGGGACAGCTCTTCAACCAGCACATGGATGTCTTCTACCTGTTTGAACCTCTTTACCACGTCCAGAACACGCTCATCCCTCGCTTCACCCAGGGTAAGAGCCCCGCAGATCGAAGGGTCATGCTAGGTGCCAGCCGGGACCTGCTGAGGAGCCTTTATGACTGTGATCTCTACTTCCTGGAGAATTACATCAAGCCACCTCCGGTCAACCACACCACCGACAGGGTCTTCCGCCGAGGGGCCAGCAGGGTCCTCTGCTCCCGTCCAGTGTGTGACCCTCCAGGGTCCTCTGACCTGATCTTGGAGGAGGGGGACTGTGTGCGCAAGTGTGGCTTGCTGAACCTGACCTTGGCAGCCGAAGCTTGTCGTGAGCGTAGCCATGTGGCCATCAAGACTGTGCGGGTGCCCGAGGTGAATGACTTGCGGGCCCTAGTGGAAGACCCCAGGTTGAACCTCAAGGTCATCCAGCTTGTGCGAGACCCTCGTGGCATCTTGGCTTCTCGGAGTGAGACCTTCCGGGACACCTACCGACTTTGGCGGCTTTGGTACGGCACAGGGAGGAAGCCCTACAACCTGGATGTGACACAGCTGACCACGGTGTGTGAGGATTTCTCTAGCTCTGTGTCTACTGGCCTCATGAGGCCCGCCTGGCTCAAGGGCAAGTACATGCTGGTACGTTATGAGGACCTGGCCAGAAATCCAATGAAGAAGACAGAGGAGATCTACGAATTCCTGGGTATCCCCCTGGACAGTCACGTGGCACGCTGGATCCAGAACAATACGAGGGGCGACCCCACTTTGGGCAAGCACAAATACGGCACAGTGCGCAACTCAGCAGCCACGGCGGAGAAGTGGCGCTTCCGCCTCTCCTATGACATCGTGGCCTTTGCCCAGAATGCCTGCCAGCATGTGCTGGCCCAGCTGGGCTACAAGATGGCCAACTCGGAGGAGGAGCTGAAGAACCCAGCCATCAGCCTAGTGGAGGAGCGCGACTTCCGCCCTTTCTTGTGACCTGGGTGTGGTGGGGGTGGGAGGCAGGTGGCTCTGGTTTTGCTGACGTGGACCTACTATGGGCCGTTTTTAACTGTTGCCTTATCTCCCTCCTCCCTCTCCCACCCTGACTGTGTGTCTTTTCCAGCCCCTGTCCACTCCCCTCCCTTTTGCCTCTCCCATACCATCTGTGCGTCCTTCTTGCCCTTGTCCACCCCCTTCTCTCCTGCCTCTTTTTGCCCCTGAAATTTGCACTATGTCTCTGGAGGGGAACACTGGGCAGAGGGCGTGAGATGTGGGGTTACGCCCCCCACCCCATTTAGACACAAGGATGGTGGGTCTCTATGCGGATGGGGACAATGTTTACAGGCACCCAATCGCACATTCACACGTGCACACAGGCACACAAGAGGTACCCCAGCACATAACTTGTAGTTTTTGTAATTGTCTTCTCAAGGTAATGGGATGGACACAGAGGGACCACACCTCCCCAGTTTAAGAAAAGGGCCCATCCCAGCCCCCTCCCGGCTCTCTCCCCTGGAGCAGGGCACCCGTCCCTCCTGCACATCCTTGCCTGCTGGTGAGCAGGGTTTTACTGTGAGGTGAATTGGGACTACGTTCTTTCTATTTGGTTTGTGGTGAGCTTGTCTGTCTGAGTCTTGTGGCTACCCCTAGACCAATAATGATTAATGAATCTTAGGAGTTTCGGATTGATCTTGGGGTCCCTCTGTGATATTTCTTTGTGCCAAAAAACAAAAACAAAAAAAAAAACAAAAAAAAATGTGGATCAGTTTGCTAAATGAAAATTGAAATGCTTTATTTGTGTTTTCTGTAAATAAAAATGTGCAGTACTGCCTGAGTGTGATTTGGGGTAAATCTTCTGAATAGTAGACAATGGGCTTTGGATATTCCTGGCTTTGGAGATAACACAAAGAAGGAAAAGTGGGAATTAAATTGTAAACCTGCCCTACAGGACTATTTTATTAAAAAAAAATACTAGAATATCCCTTTAAAGTTCTTTGATGATTGCATACATACAAAGACTCCGTCTTGATCACATGATCCCAGCTCCCCCTCCCACTTCACTCAAGAGCTACGGAACTCCAGCTCCCCCATTTCATTCCCTCTAGAAGCCCCTGCTGTTCAGATCTCCTGCCACCTTCCATGCTGGCTCGGGGTTGTCAACTTTGTTCCCTTATCAGCTGAGGGGAGTGGTACCGTCTAGTCAGGGTGCTCAAAGTATTTAGAAGAGGCTTTGGGATTCAGAGTGGGCCAAGGAGAGAATCAGGTGTGGACAACTCTTCCCTCTCCCAGAGGCTCCTCCTTTAGTTAGGGGATTTGGGGCCAGGGAAGCTGGGGAGAAGGGACATCCAATGTGCAGGTGGCTCAGAGCAGGGGCCATTAACCTGCTCATTAACCTGCCTAGAAGCTGTCTCAGGAACCAGCCGAGTTTCCTGGTGCACGCACGCACCAGTGGGGGAATCTGCGGGGCTCACTCTCCATCTTTCGTTGACGATCTGGCAGACTCTTCTAAAAAGCTCCCGAAGTTCTCACCCCAGGAAACATGCAAACCATGAAATTTCCTAAAAAAGAAAATGGCATGTTTTACTATGATTTAAGAACCAAAGAAAAACTGCCCCGTCTGCCTGGTTTGATCAGTGGCCCAGTATTGAAGCGCTTCTCCCAGCAGACCATGACCCCCAAGCTGCCCTCTCTCAGCTCCCAGCTGCGTAGCATCAAACATCAGTTTACCATAAAAACTTAAACCTTAGGCTCCAGGCCTTGCCACTATCATTTTATGTATACGGTGCTTTGGCTGCATATATGTGCACTATGTGCAAAGCTGGTACCTGGGGAACACCAAAGAGGTCATTGGATCCCATGAAAGCTATGGTTGGTTGTGAGCATTCATGTGCAAGCTGAGAATTAAACCTCTGGCTGCTCTGGAAGAACAGCCAGCACTTTTAGCAGCTGAGCCATCTCTCCAGCCTCCATCTTTGCTGTTTTTAAGTGCACATCCCATTAAATACTTTTATAGTACGCAAGCATTCCCTCCTCTATAACTTCATCTTGCAAAACTCTAAAGTCTGTTTCTTCAAAACAACCCATCCCTATCTCTCTCACAGCTCCTGGCAACCATCGCTCTGTCTGCATGTTTCTGACTACCTTGAGTACCACATAGAAATGGGATCATGCAACATTTGTCTGGCTGACTGGCTTATTTCCCTGAGCATAGTGTCTTTAAGGTTCTTCACCTTGTACAGTACATCAGCTATCCTTCCTTTTTAAGGCCAATGGATCTCACATTTTGTTTAGCTGTTGATCCTTCAATGGGCCTTGGGTCACATCCATGTTCCAACTGCTGTGAATAAGGAATGCAATGAGAAGAGTGTACACTCTGAGGCATAATTGCTGGGTGCTCTGGCAACTATAATTCCTTTTAAGATCTTCTCTGTTCTCCATAGTGGTCATGATATATTATTTTTTTATGTGTGCATAAATTTTTGTGTGTGGGTTGCGTACCTGTGTGCATGTGTTCAAGGAGGCCAGGGGAAGGTGTCAGGCATTCCCTGTCACTCTACTTCTTTGAGGCAGGGTTTCTTCCTGAACCAGGAGCTCATGGCCAGCAGTCAACAAGCCACATGAATTTTGTCTCCCTCACTCCCAGCACTGGGGCTACATACATCACACTACACCTGGCTGGTTGCATTGTTGTTGGCATTTCAAACTCAGGTCCTCATCCTGGCATGACAAACATTTTAGCAGCTGAGCCCTCTCTCCAGCCTCTGTACTACTTCAGACTGCTGTGCTGCTCAAGGTTTCAATCACCTCACATCCTTTCCAACTCCCTTTCCCCTCTTCCTCCCTTTTAGTGGTAACCACCCTAAGGTGTGTGAGGTGACAAACTGGCCTATTTGCTTCCATTTTCCCTCACTAGAAAGGCCTGAATGGTGTCTTACTTAGGTTGTGTACCCAGATATCATGGGCTCTGGCTCCACCTTTGTTCCATCTTCCTAAGGCATTGTCCTTGGCTGTATGGTCTAATGGCTTCCCAAGCTTCAGAAAGGAGGAAAATGGGAAAGGAGAGCATACACACATCTCTGCTTACATGAGTGCAGTCCAAGAGTTACACCCCTTCCCCTTTCATTCCTGATCATGTGGACATAGCCAGATACAAGGTAGAGCTGGATCTTTCATCTGAGTGGCTTGTCCTGTGAAAGGGCCTGATAAACCCAGGGTAGATCTCCTTGGGATTCAGATTTCTCCTGTAGAAGAGGAGAGGGTATGATCAGTACCAAGAAGCTGGTTTGGAAAAGTCTCCCAGGGCTAGTGGGCCGGGCATGGGTTTTTCTGGTTTTTAGGATTGTATCCAGGCCATGGAAAGAAGAAGTCAGTTGATGTCATGGCACAACATCCTTTGTGGTCCCTGGTTGGCCATTCTAATACTAGAGAAGGCCGGCTTTAATCAGGGCCACTGCTGGATGGTCCTTTCCCTGGTAAAGCAGACTAGGGCACAGTGTATTCATGTAGCTACATGTGTGCAGTTGTGTGTGGAAGCCAGAGTTTCCTCAGGGGCTGCCCACCTTGTTTTCTGAGTCAGGGTCTCTCACTGGGACCTGGGCCTCACTGACTAGGCTAGGTGGTCAGTGAGCTCCAGTGCCAGGATTACAAGCAGGATTACAGGCCACTGCCTGGCCTTTTAAAATGTGAGTTCTGAGATTTGAACTCAGGTCCTTGCCCTTGCACAGCAGACACTTTCCAGTCTGAAGCATCTCCCCAGGTGCCTAAACAGCTCTCCTTTGACAGACCTGAGCCAGCAGCCTCTCCCCTTCAGTGCGTGGCTTTCCATAGGAATTGGGAGATACCAGGGATTCCTTCAGCTGGAAGGAAGCACTGTCATAATCGAAGGTTTATTCAAGACTGCCTGGGGCTTTCCAGAGGAAGCTCTTTGCTGATGGGATTATTCACTTCTGAATGTATTCACGCATTTTGACTTTTACATGCAGGCTCCAGGGGTGTGGACATTCTTTCAAGAAACACTGCCTAGTGAAGACCAAGGAGTGAAAACATGGCTGTAATAAAGGCAGCCCATAGGTTTAGAAATCTGGTTTGCCATGATGGCCATAGGCTTGTCCTTTGGCTTCAAGATCTCATTCTTTGTGCCCTTGTTCTTGGGGATTAGTCAAGTCAGAGTCATTTTAGAGCGGTGGTGCCTGAATTGGGTCTCAGGGAGGGATGGCTAAGCATGAGAGGGCTGCCCCCAGCTGGGGGAGAAGCTCAGGCCACAGTGTGGATGGGAGGCCTCAGGTGTTACGATGGGATGAGCTGCACCAGTCATGTGTATGCTGGACCAGGCCTGACCCTCAAGCTTGCAAGCTTTGCACTTTACCAGGGATGTTTAACCTACAAGGGTCCCTCCCCATCCCGAATCTCATGTAGTCCAGGCTGGCTTCAAAGTCAATAGGTAGCCAAGGATGACTTTATGTTTTGATTCTCAATCTCCTGAGTGTTGGGATTGTGGGCATGTGTTATCACACTTGGTATTATGGGATGTTGGGATTGACACCAGGGCTACATGCCCATGAGGCAAGTATACTACTAACTTGGCCACATCCCTGCTTTGCAGAAAATTTTTTTTCAATGCAAAAGCAAGAGGCTTATTTTCCAACTCATCCCTCATTCCCCCCTTTTTCTTGTATAAGCCCCAATCCTGGAGCTACGCTCAGGGGTCTTGGGAAACTAACTCATATTCTTCAGGTCCTGTCCTCAGGGTCTCGTATTGTTGGCACAGGACCACCAGCTGTACTGATCCTATTCTCTCTTTCATGAAGGCTATAAGCTTGTTCAGTATGCGAGGTCCAAAGGTCAACAATAGCAGGAGGATAATTAGGGGTCCTAACAAGGTGGATATGAGGGTTGTTAACCAAGGGGAAGAGTTAAAGCAAGACTCAAACTAGCCCCTGACTCTGTTCTCTTTCTCTCTTCCACTTGGCTAGCCCTTCTCTCACCTTGACCATTGAATCGTCCACAACCCCAGAATGGTCTATATAAAAGCAACACTTTTCAGCTAAGGAATCACATAGCCCTCCTTGCTGGAGGAAAAGTTAAATCTAATCCCCTCCTATTCTGTAGTGCTACTTCTGATAGTGAAGTCAATGATTCTTGAAAGTGACTGATGGAAGTTTCTATTTTCTCTATCTAAATCAATGGCTGCCCTCAGACTGTCATAATTTTTCCCTTGTAAGACCAAAGTGGAGGTCCTGGTGGCTGCCCCAGCCACTCCCAACCCCAGCATAAGGGAGACAGTGAGTGCTGTAACTGATTTGCCAGATGGGCACATAGGATGGAAGAAGGAACCAGAATCCAAAGGTACCACCAGGAGTCATGATTGAGGTCAAGTGATCTTGAGCTTGAGCGGATTGTCTGTCTTCTGTATCATCCAGAGGGGGTCCCTGGGAAGTGGGGTGTCTGCAGGTTTCACATTCGAAGCATGCACCAAGGCCACAATAACATCCACCTTAAGGGTTGTGGGAGTGGTTAGCAGCACCAGGAAGGATTCCTTCCACCGGGGTTCCAGTGACTGTGCCCAATGCCTTCTTATGTAGACCCATTCACCAGTCTGGACGTGGTGAGGGGGGGGGGTCTCTGGCATCCCTGGAGCATTTAAGGCAGACAGTTTAGGCCAAATCTCGTGTTGTATTCTGCTATAGATTTTTGTTTTGGTTGAACAAACCCTCGGCGCTGAAACGTGAAAGTCTCCTGCTTTTAGGATAAGACCAGATCCTCACACTGTTCTCTGCAGCCTCGCACATGGCAGGCTCTGCTCTCTCGTTCCATGTTTATTTCACCCCTTGAGAA